GCATATCTGCATAGTGCCGTTATTTTGTACCCCGGAGCTTCGCTGACCAGAATCCCATGGATAACAAGAGATCTGGTGACGTCACGAGTAAGTCCGACGCCCCTCAGACTATGCGTTCGGGTTTTGTTCACGTTGGGTACGAGAATGTCCGTAGACGTGCTGGCGACCACGGATGTATATGCACACTTGTGGAGCACTCGCCCTTGTCCCCTGGGGAAGACAAGGTCGACGCGCTACGACAAGAGAAAATACGTCTTGTACGGACATCGGCGAAATGCGACAGCGATTTTCAATAATGCAAGGTGACAATTACATGTGGAAAAACGTCCCCATCAAAAATGTCGACCAAGCTCCACCTCATGACCGACCGCATCAGTACCCTCCGTCATCTCACCATAGTCATCGCTCCCATCACTTATTCCACCATCTCCCATCACCTGGCAGCCTCTCGCAACCGGCGCCTTCTCCCGACCCCCGCACATTCCCCAAGCCAATACCCGAGCTCGACCTACACGCTCACCATCCACCGTTTGGCGCTCCTACGTCACGCGCGCCGGTAGGGAAGGGGATGGATCCGGGGGATGAAGTCGATTTTTTGAAGCCGGAGGAAGGGGAACGTGACGTGGTGCCGAAAGTTCAGACGGGAGATGAAGGGGTAACTGTGGCTGCTACAACTTTTCCACGGGCTCACGAGGGTGGATTTCTCATGGGAAACGCGGGTGAGGGGGCAGTGGAACGAGGAAGAGTGAGTCAGCATTCTGTCATTTTCAAGGGACGAATTATTCGCCAACATTTCGTGATCAAAACCACAGACAAGCCCCCAACGGCCTCACCGTCACCAACCTCGACCTCACATGCGACTTCGAATTCGGCCTCGTCGGAACCACATGCGGCATCGAAAATCTCGTCAAGCACCCAATTCATGACGACGTCGAGCTGCGCGTCCTGCGACTGACGGACGACCAAGGGTGATCGGGGTACATTCCGCTGGAGACCGTGGGATCGCTGTTTGCGGAGCCGGACATGAGGGTTGTGAGGACGTTGGAGGGCGGTGCTGGTGACGTCGAAGTTGGTGTCGAGGAGGTACTGCTGGAAGACGAGGGGATGTGGACAAATGGGAGCTCGAAGGGCAACGTCCCGTGGAGGGAACGGATTACGAGGCGGAAGGTCGGCACAGGGACGGTTTGACAGGGATGGGTGATACGATGCATACAGGGCCGTGATTGGAAACGGCGGTTGTGCAGAGGGGTTTGGTGGTTTGTGTGAGGGCGGGGTGGATTGTTCTGTTCTTCTATACAGAATATGCAGATGCAGATGCCGAGTTGTCAGCTTTGTAGTGGACGCTTCGAAATCGCTCTTACATAATTGTTGCTGGAAATGTTCTCCCCAAACATTGATCAAAGCGGATGGTGCCACTAGTCGGAAATTTCAAGACCTGAGGAAGGTATCAGGAGCATTCGTCGATATCCATAACGAGAGGAAAGACGAATTGACCACGAACGAATGTTTGAGGTAAGTTACAAGTAAATTTAACGCTCACAGAAAGTGCGCGTGTCCTCAGTGGCGGATACGGGCGGGACCTTGTGGAGGGGGGTCGAGTTCACTTTCGGGAATACCTTGGAATCTCGCAGCACAGAATGGAGAGCGGGAGAAGTCTCCCTGCTTTCGAGATAATGAGAACATAGACACCTACGCAGGTTCCCAGCTTTGTAAACATAAATGCAGCCTGTTTGGCTGACTTCCGTTTAATTTCAAACGATCACGTCAGCTCAATGCCAAATACAGACCACTAATACCCAGCATTTCTGCATACTAAAACTTACCGCTAGCGGTCAGGATGGTCGGCTTCTTCGGAACACCGGAGACGAACTGAGTATGTAGTGTTAACAATTCGTGGTGAGACTTTGCGTGTTCATATCAGAATTATGACTTTATTCCTTCTCAGAAGAAGCAGTGGCACCCGAAGAACGTGGCAGAGGTCCCATACAGTAATTCACGCAGTCTTTACACCAGCAGTTCCCCGCTTATCGGACCAGCCCGTCGTGAACCCATAAATACCCTTATACTTCTTCTCTAAATATTGCATCGCCGACGTTCCATCTGGCGGCCCGCCGTTCGGGACACCACGGGCTCTCTCCTCCCGGCCATGGGCTTCGACGACTGGCGATGCGATGGGTCGGATTGGTGTTTCAAAATCAGGGTAGGCAAAGTACGCGATGGAGAACCGGGACGTGGAGTGTTCGGTGGGTGTTGTGGCGACGACTTTGTGCTGGGTGGCTTTGACTGGGAGGTAGCAGGATTTTCACGTGAGAGGTGCTGTGACGACGCCCTGCCGAATAATTAATCCAGAAGTGGGCCACTCACGATATCCATCCGTCATGTACATCAGCTCCTCCCCCAAGTTGACCACGATCGCGCCCTCCATGGGAGGTACGTAGACCCACTTGCCGCTCTGGTCCTTGGCGTGCAGGCCGCCGACGTCTTGTTGGAAGAGGAGTGTGACAGTGCCGATATCTAGCAGAGTAGCAGTTCAGCATTCATGGGTGCATTGCTTCAATATCTGAATGTGGGAACTCACCGAAGTGTGCGTTGATCCGAGTGTAGCCGGTTTCTGCTAGCCCGTAGTCGGGAGGTAAGGGAGGATAGTGAAGAAAACGCAGCACGCAGCCGGAATGGCGGTCATCTAGAAGGGCCAGAGTGCTCACTCAGACATCCCCGGGACTGCACTGAATCGCCAAAGTACCAACATCGGTGAAGCTCATCAAAGTAACCCACACCGCCGGTGCTTTCTGGGATTTGTAGTCCCTCCGCCACACACCGCAACAGCTTCTTCACGAGCGTGTTGCAGTCTCTGTCAAAATCGTCTAGCTCGTCCTGGTGGTCGAGGATCACGGGTGGCCATTCTCGTTCCATATTGTCGTCAAAATTCCCAACGCCCCACTTTATGTGGACGGCAAAATTCGAGTTATAGTGAGACACACTTCCGCAAAATGCCCCAAAAGCTGTGAAGATGAGAACGGTACCTTTCCAGGAAGGTTCCAGTGCTCTTTCCCGTACATTTTGGTCGCGTCGCCTTCTGTGCCTGCCAGGGCGGCATGGTTCGCTATTTGCAGTTCCCATTTTGTTCTCACATCAGCGTCCTGCAGCAAAGAACCTGCCCGTGCCCAATGGACACTCACGCTGATCCGCAAACGGTTTGAACCCCAACTGATTATGGTCCTGCCTGAACCTTTCCTTCTCCGCATCGGGAAAGTCAAACGACTTTTTGGCTATCTCAAACATTCTGCCAATCTTGCGCTGCTCGATGCCGTGATCGACCAGGTACAGAAATCCGACATCGTGAAGAGCAGAAGTCACCGCGTGCGCAAGGCGGGAGCGGGATTCGGCGTCGGGTGAGGACAGGTCGGAGAGAGAGATGAGTGGGAAGGGGAGCGCATCAGGAGGGGGGTTTGCGTTGCTTGGTGCAGACATTGCTGGATGTCGGGTCCATTGGGCCGCCGTCCGCAGAAGTGGGGATGGAAGGTATGAACCACTTCATCGCTGTTTGTGAGCTTAAGGTTTCCAATTAATTATACAGTGACCATACCATGGAATTAGCACGGGTTGAAAGACCTGCCCAACTACATTTCCTTCTTCTCATCAGGTTCAAACATCTCCCGCCAGACCCCAAATCACCTCCACAAACTCGTCTCGGCGCCACTCCAGGCCACAAACATCACCATTGCGCCTCCAATGACTGCACGCCACCCCAACCCTGCTCGAGCTCCCACGCCCGTATTAGACCGACCGCTCGCCATGCCGTCAAGAATGATCATTGCACATATGCACGTCCAGAGTGTCGCGAGGGTGTGTAGGGGGCGGATGTACCATACCCAGTCCACGTCAGAGGAAGAGGTGAGGGAATTGAGAGAGTCTGGGTGTCGGAGAAGGTATTCGATTCCTTCTTGAATGAGCTGCGTATGCCGGTGTAAGAAGTGATGAAGGGAGCGAATGGCCAGGGGAGAGATGTTCGCCGTTTTAAGTCAACATTAAATGCTGAATTACGGCTGCGTGAACCAAAGCTTCAGACTCACCCATGGCACAAATCCCACGAAGCTCAACACCTTGAACACCATTTCATATGATACCGAGCCGCCTACTTTGTCCAGGTCCCGTGCACCGTCCGTCACCCCAGTCCGGTCGACTTTCTTCACCACCCCTTTCTTCCCCTGCTCCCTTGCAGCCTTTCTCCTCGCAGTCCTATTCCCCTCCGCAACATCGAAACCTTCACCGCTCTTCTTGTCACTCCTTTCTTCTTCGGCGTCGTCACTCCATTTTGTCTGGGCCTTTCCCGTCGCACCGAGGTAATTATACCCCATAAGAGCCGCCAGACCGGTGAACGCCATCCCAAACCCGATCGCGCCGATTTTCTGTATCGTGAGCCACTCGGCGTCCGTCCATCGACCCTGGACGAGGCCGAAATCCTGCAGTAACGTGGGCGGGGGGATCGAAAGTACCTCCTCCGACCGGAATCGGTGGATTACCAGCGACTGCGTCGCCCACCGCACCAGCAAGAGGTTCTGGGCCTGCTTGGATATGACGTCGTAAGCTGATGCGGGTTGTGCGCCTTCAGTCGGAGGAGAAGGCGTGGTAGAAGTGGAGGGTGGCGAGAAGGACACGCTGTGAGGGCGAAAGGCGGCATCGATTGCCAACACGAGGACGTCGAAAATGTCTGGATCGCGAATCGGTGATGTTTGGGTCATTGATTGCTGCGGAGTTTCTGCTTATCAAGGGTGATCGATATGAGTTGTCCGCAGCACTCAAATGATCCACGCTATCTTTTGAACCGGCGTTTTTCTAAAATGTTTTCGAAATGACTTATACACTCGAGGATATCAAGGGTGATCGATATGAGTTGTCCGCAGCACTCAGATGATCCACGCTATCTTTTGACCCGGCATTTTTCTAATGTTTTCGAAATGACGAATTCTCGAGGATTGATTGGAAAAACAAAAAAAGTTCGCCCTCCGGGGGACTCGAACCCCCAACCCTGTGATTAAAAGTCACATACTCTGCCGATTGAGCTAGGAAGGCCGCTCTTATTTTCATATGATTAATTATAACATTATATTACTACAATAAATTTAAAACATATAAATTTTCAATAATAAAATATCGCGCTCCCAACATCGATCAAGTTCCAGCCACAACAGGACGGCCCATTACATGTCCCTGGTGGTCACGGAAGCCTCGAATTGTGGGTGTTGTGACAGGAGGACCCATAACCTGCAGATGACAAAGACACCACTGACGCAAAGAACAGTCTTCATTGTGAACTAATTTGCGCGCATACTGCTCTTTGACAAGATGCAAATGAAAAATGAACTGATGCAGAGTTTTGCAGACGCAGTTACTGCAAAAGGAGCACGATATGTGGGCTGTTTTGGATTTGTTGATGGGACTATGCGTGCAATATGTTGTCCCACAAGAGACCAATGCATTAGTTATAATGGCTGGAAATGCTTTCATGTTGTGAAATTCCCAGGTGCAACAACCCCAGATGGAATTGTATGGCACCTCAGCAGGCCTTATGGGGGGTGATGGCACAACTTGAGAATCTTCCAAAACAGCCCATTGTGCAACATTTTGGAACAGTATGGTGGGTGCTGTGAGAAGGGGGACAGGATGATTCTCCGAGACATTTCGAACTCTTGTAGCATTTGGCCCAACCAACAAACCCCTCATAATCTATGGTGATCCTGTGTACATGCAAACTTTGCACATTCAGGTTCCACATAAAGGATTCAATATCACTCCTGGGCAAGCTGCTGTCAATGCAAGCATGAGTCAGGTGAGGATAGCTTCCAAATGGGGATATGGCAAGGTGACCAGTGTATGGGGCTTTGTGGACTATACTCAACACATGCAGCTACAAAGAACACCAGTTGGCACAATTTACAAGGTTACTGTCCTCTTGACAAATTGCCACACTTTCTTTTACAGGGGAGTTACATCTTCACATTTTAACATTCAGCCACCACTTCTAGAAGACTACCTACATTGTAACATTTATGCATCCCTCTTTGAAAGGTGTTTTCAGCACGTAAATTAATGCCACGTTCCTTTCAAACTCCAACATCTCTTGTCTCTCATCCTAGCAGCCATTTTCCTCTTTGTCCTTGCGTTTGTGCCTCACTCTGTCATTGGACTCATGCCAGTGTTGCTCCTGTTGCTCTCTCTGAAGCCTTGTCTTTCCTTTCTCATTGTCTTAGTGTTGTGTCCTGCACAAATTGAAAGGATTCACTTGGTTATTTTCCTTCTTTTTGGTTAGCATATAATGGCCTCTTGAGTGGCTTGACCTGCAAATTGATGGTTTGATGGGTCCTTCTGGAGGGCTCTCATGTTATTTGGATACCCTTAGTGATACCAAATAGCTCAAGTATACACCACTCCTTCACCTATGTATGCTATGTTGACCAGCATTTATGTCTTTCTTTTCTTGCAAGGAGTGCTCTGGCTGCTATTGGTTTCTTGCATTCAACTTTTACAGCAAGTTGTCAGTGGCATTTTTAAGGCAGGCCTCTGGCGAGTACATCCAAGGTGGCAGTATGACTGCAGGAGTTTTGTAGGACTTTAAAGCCCAATCAAAACTAGCACCAAAGTGATTTTAAATGAGTGAAGATCAGAAACTGCTTGCTCTGTTGGTGCTGCAATGATTGTACACATTTCAAGCACTCTTGACAAGGAATCCTCACAAAAAGTGTGCAGTGTGATAGAAAGACACAAATGAAGCCAATGGAGAGAACAATGATGAAGTGACCATGTTCCATGGTGGGGACATAGTAGGAGACAATAAAATGGTATAACATTGATATTATTGATCTCAATATGAATATGCACTTGCTTTTTCTGGAAACTTGATTATGGAGCTCATGCCAACTTTGTGGGCAGGTGGATTGTGGCATTGTTGGCCTCCCTTATGTAACATTCCTAAAGATATGTGATCTGTATTTTTTTTCCCCCAATGCTTCCTTGAATATTACTGGATGACATCCATTAATTTCTGCATATATTGACAACTTTGGTTACTAAAGCATTGTCACTAGTCTTGTTTACGTTGAAGTAGTTGTCAGAAAGGGAGCTCCTCACCACTGGAATAGTTGTGTTAAGTAGTCCCAAGGATACAATCATCTCTCTACAACGCAAGAGAACTCCAGAAGTGATTGAAGCAGTCTTTAAATCTAAATGTGGGTTGAAGTCTTCAAGGTGAATACAATCTCAGTCAGCTTAAAATCAAAGCATGAGCCATTTTCACCAAAATTCAAAGCTCATTGCATCACATACAGAGGACAAAAAGGTTGCAGTTTTTGAATTACAAAAGGAGCAAGGTCAGTTGACTGGAATAGGACACTAATTAGCATTACTAGATACTTGCAATAGCCTGTATGCACAAGCTCAAATGAGTAGTGCAAAAGATTATTGAATGAATAATGCTTGCCTTGGCTCCTTCCCCCCTGCCCCAGCCATCTCTAAACACTGCCTTGAGAATGATAAGATTTCCAACAGAGACTGAGATCTTGTCTTCTTTGGAAATGTACCACCATGAGAAATGACCTATGCCAAATTATTGGACCAGTTGCACTCTCTGCTTACTACAACAAGTGGGTTGCACTCATAGGGTAGAGATGGTTAATCATAATGTAGGGGCAGTGGTTGACTAGAAATGGTGAGCATGGTCTGTAGTAAGCTCCATGTGGGGATTGTGGTTGATGATCAAGTGTAATCTCTCTCTCAAATACCACCCAAGCTGAGCTAAAAGGGCAAAGGCTGATCTAAGCCAACATGGGACAATAACACAACATGGCAGTCCCCACCAATTCTTGATTGTCTCCACACTCAGTTCATCTTGCTTCACACAAGACAATAGAAAATATAAACTCAAATGTGCTTACAGGGCCACAGAGATTGGCAAATTAGTGCTCCCAGCATGTGGAGCAGACAACACTGGAATTGGCAGAGGAGCTGTTAAAGTTCGGAAGCATTGTTGTGGGAGTCCAAAGAAATTAACAAGGAAGGCAGGCTCAGAATGTCTTAGAAAAGTCACCAACCACAGGGCAGGGCAGGGACTGACATGGCACTTACCCATGTTACTGAAAGTTGGCTCCATCTGTGTTTACACTCTTCCACCTCTTCCAGAGAGAGGGGAATCCTTTCAATTTGTGCAGGACACAACACTAGGACAATGAGAATGAAAAGACAAGGGTCCAATTTTGCTCAAGGTAGGCATGAAGCAACTGGCTGTTTGGATGTAGCACTGCACAAGAATGCTCCACATCAAGTTGTTGCATAATGTAATAATATATAGCAAGGCAAAGAAAATCATCATTAGTGCCTGCCATCCTAGCTCAATCAGCAGAGAGTGTGACTTTAATCACAATTTTGGGTTCCAAATTGAGAGTGCCAGTACATGTTGCACCAATAGACAAACCAGAGACTGGAGAATTTTCTGGGAGAGCTTCTGATTTGCATCAGCAATACCTGAGTGATTGTTAATACTTGTCAACAAATGTACTAAAGCCAGCATGCATTTGTAAGGCACATAGATCAAAGTTAAGGAGGAGCTACTTGGAGATTTATGTGTGGCAAGAAATACCATAGTCCTTACTTGCATACATTTGGGTTATTAAACACTTTCAGTGGAAAACATCATAACTTATGGTATAAACATAAAATGGCACAATACCTTATTTATATGTCCTTTAGCACCTTCTTAAAGATAAGTCATGTGTAGCTAAACAAGACTAATTGTAGTGGGCCGAAATATGACTGGCAAAGTCAACCTCCCAATATTGTCTGTGTCCAGGGAAAGTTTAGATCTTTCTGCAAAGGGAAGAGAGAACCAAGAACCTCAAAGAGGCTACGGTCACCGCTTTCTTCAATTAGGAGAAGCTGACACTTCATGGTAATTCTTTAATTAGGTGACTCAATTGATTGCAGTAAAGGTCAACAGTAGAACTTATAGTTATGCAATTCGCAATCCAAGCTTGTTGCTTAGATTCGGGGAGCTGAGTCCCCCCCAAGGTATAAGTTACTATACATTTCATTCACCTGAACGAAGAGGGAAACGCACACGGAGTATTTTCGTTGCAACAATTGTGCACTACTGATGTGACTTCGCTGTCAAAAGTTTCATTCTTCTGTAAAAGATGTACTTTATGTATACTCAGCTACACGTCGTCAAAAATTACGTCACCACTCTTTATACTAGTACGTTGTCCCGCCACCCCAACTGGCGCAGGGGCTTGGAACCCTTCCACCACATCCCGGCGTTTCCCTTCCTCCTCCAACCATGCCGCGTTATCTCCCAAATCCACGCCCACGCCCGCAACGCCGCCCAGCCCAAAGAGTCCTCCCATCGGAGGACGCACCCTGCTCTCCAGTTCTCGTACTTCCACACCAATAGCTTGGCACACAGCATGGCGAAGGCTCCAGTCTGCTGAGAGCACAGCAATGGCGAAACGCGAGCCTTCTTCATATCCTCTCCGGTTGATGATTCGTTCGAGCATAGATACAATAAGTGCTTGCGCGTTTGGTGCTGAAACTTGCAAAAAGCGGATCAGCGGCGAGTAGTTTCGGGAGTGAAGGAAGCAAGAGATACACTGTGGCATGAGGGATAGGTGAGATAAAATTAACGGTGGGCAACCGGTTGAGGCTGGAGTTCTCACCCGGTCGACAACGTTACCCCTGAACCAGACTGTTGAAGCAGCGCCGAAATCACCGACTTTCCACAATGTGTCTCCGAGCTCCTTGCCGTAAACAATGCGATTCTCGGAAAGTAAGCGGCGAAAGCGTGCAGATTGTGGCGTTACAGCTAACTGCGTAGAACGTGTTGTAGAGAACGAAGGGTGTGATGATATGAGCTCGACTGAAAGAAAGCAGAAGATTTCGACTTCCCGTTCTCAAAAAGCCCAAACTCTTTAGCGCAGCCTCCACTCACTCATAGCTACACCTTCCTTTTCAGTGACGTCTAACCCCGAGTTCGCCAGCAACCGAAAGTAGTACTCCGTGGGGTCGTCTTCCGGAGTAAGTTGCGG